TCGCATTCAATAAAATAACACATAAATCTCGATGATGATCTCATGTTACGTGTCATTTTTATGATACATTTAAATCAATTTCAAAAGAATTCATCTTACTTCAATAAATATCTTATGTCATTAGTAAGCCATAAAACATTTTTTTCAAGAAAGAAAAGAAGAAAAAAAAGTGTTTTAATATTTTTCTTTTTCAATTAAGAGCGGGTAATTAATTAATTTGATAAATTTGTTTGATAAGTAGAAATTATACTTGATATTAGGGGGGGGGATTAATATTTTATACATAAATAAGGACAATTGGGGCCGGGATAGTCTTGTCGGTAGGGTGCTGGGCCCATGTCCGAGAGTTCGTGGGTTCGAACCCCACCGGCCGAAGACTCCTCGTGTAGTAAATGATGTCAGATGCACGCTAAATCTGTCGAGTCGCAAAGTCCTCCATGTTCCCATAACAAATCAATACCTCTGTGGGTACTGGATTGAGATCGATCGTTCTCTGATTCAGGTCAAAATTACGATCTGTGGATGAATGAATGGATGTATGTATGGTTCCGCCCTATAAACGGGTGTGACGTATGGATGTGGCAGAAGTCGAATTCTTCGCCAAAGATGGCGCCACTGGAAAACAAGAACAGTCGTGCCCCTCTGCCTAAACCGGCATACGTCAGCAACAACATCAAATAAGGACAATTGATTTGAAACTAATAAGATCAAAAAGTCTGAAGCGAAAGATTTACTCAAAAAATATTTTTTTTTTGTTTCGTAGTTAACATGAGAGTAAGATCGGCCTATTTCGAGCACCCGAATTAAGGCGCTCCTTTTCATGACGTCAAGTGAATTGTAAATAAAAAACAAGTTAAGAAAAAGCTTAACTATCAACAGAAATAAGAGAAAAACGTCAGTAGTCGACTGGATAGCGGAGAGTGAAAGAGCAAAATCAAGGCCCTACATGTTCTGTCCCTATTATCCTTCTTCTGCCACCACCATTCCTTGGGCTGCCGCATTTTGCCATTCCTCTGCCAGTTAATCTGCCAATATAATGAAAAATATCCTTCTTTTATTATTATCCCTGTGCTTAGGAAAATATTTGTTTGTAGTACTCAAACAACTATTTAAATTCTTGTCTCTTTTTCTTTTACTTTTTTTTTTTAATTCCGATTGGTTCACATCGAGTTGGAGGTTTTTATTCAAGTTCAGGTTCGAAGGCTTGTAATTTTAAACTCAACGCAAAAGACAACTCTTGAATCGCACATTCGGCCTTCGTTGTCAATAAATCAAAATATAATCAAAACTAATCAATATTTGCGTTACATAGGAAGGATAACCATGAAAGTCTTCGCCTATTGTCTGACAAAGAGGGGACTGAAACCTATGCCCTATCAATTACTATATTTTATAACCGGCGTTGATTACCCGACATAATTTTGAGTTTACGACGAACAATGTTTAACCCCGCGGCTTTGAACCACCCAACCCAGAAGACAATAGAGATCCAGGATCAGAAACTGGAACAAACAAGCCGTTGTGGAGTACTTTTTGATGGGACTCACTAGCTGATGAAATATTGCGTTACATGGAGAAGGTGTTAAATAAAGGCTATGATTTATGGTTCAAATTAATATCCATAGATGGCGCTGTGCCAATGATTTATTTTTTCTCATATTTTTGTTTTATTTTTTATCCTCTCTTGTGCTGTCCTCTCTGTCTGTATGAATAAAATTTTCTGTCCGTTTCTCCGTATTCATTTTATTTTGAAATTCAAGAATCTTTATAGAACAATTTAATAAAAGGAAGCCATGGAAAACTCCAATCGTAATGTTAGGGGGATTCTACCCCATGATAAACTAACCACTGAGGATATTTTACGCCAGCTCTGTGGTTGGCCACTGCTGGGAATATCAACAAGCCACCGCTGGGATTCGAACCTGGGTCACTTCATAGAAAGATTAACTCTCTGCTCTCTGAGCGTCCTAGGCTCATTAACCACCAGAAATATATTTAGCATATAAACATACTACAAATAGGAGTAGTTCAAGAAATGACATGAATTAATAGGGATTCGAACCCGATAAAGCTTTATCCCCCGAAACATACTTGATTTCTAGCTTTTTAATGTGTGTTTTAAGCATTGACTTCTATGTGTAAGTTAATTTTTTTCAACGGCAGGCACTGAACTTCAGTTCTTCACCTCGGAAGATGCCAGAAGTGTTGCTCATTTAACGTTACATGTGAACCTAAGTCAAAGAGGCGAGCAACATCACCCACGCTACGCTGCCACACATACCCGTTTATAGGGTGGGTCACATTCACACATCACACAACAGAGAACAACACCCAGAGAGAAACATCTATGCCGTGAGCGGGATTCGTACCCGCAACCATGGCTTCACAGTCAGGTACGCTGACCGCTTGGCCACCTGGCCGGCAAAGTTAAAATGCTGCTTACAACTTAAGAACAGAGCTTTCTTTGGTAGCAGACATTCATGGTATCTTGTTTAGTAGAACCTCTTAATAGTTTCGTTTAATATACACTATCTAGCCATTAATGACCGGACACCCCTTGAAAGGCAGGTGGACTCGTCCTGGCGGAATAAATACGCAACCTGTGGTAGGGGGAAGACCATTCGCAAGCAGGCGACGGCCATACGAGCGTTAACAGTGAAAATGAGTGGACGGTGAGAGCTGAATGAGGCGGAAAAGGGCATGATCATAGGCTCTCACCGATTTGGTCATTCCATACGTGCCATCTCCGACAAGTTTCAGATACATCGGTCAACAGTTGGTGACGTCGTGTTGAAATGGGAACGAGAGGGAGTGATAAAACCGCAGTCCCGACCCGGCAAGCCCAAAATAATGTCCGACAGGGATCGACGATCTCTTCGACGTGCAGTGAAGGCAAACCGACAAATGTCGTTGGACACTGTCGCTACCAACTTCCGGGCTGCATCTGGCAGTGTTGCCAGTGCACGTACCATTCGTCGGGAGCTGATTGCACAAGGATTCCATGGACGAGCAGCAGCACATAAGCCAAACATCTCTCCATCAAACGCCCGCCACCGATTTCAGTGGTGCAGAGCACGTCGCCAGTGGACAGTAGAGCAATGGAAAAGCGTTATGTGGAGTGATGAGTCACGCTACATGTTGTGGCACTCTGATGGACGGGTGTGGACCTGGCGAATGCCCGGAGAACGGTACCTACCGGAGTGCATTGTCCCCACTGTGAAGTTCGGCGGTGGAGGAATTATGGTGTGGTCCTGTTTCTCATGGTTTGGCCTTGGACCCTTGGTGTTAGTGCGTGGAACCCTGAACGCAGAAGGGTATAGAGACATCCTGGACAATTCGGCGCTTCCCACCCTGTGGCAACAGTTCGGTAATGGCCCGTTTGTGTTTCAACACGATAACGCTGCCATTCATAAAGCACATGCCATCACGGACTGGTTTGATGAAATGGGGGTGCAAGAGCTTGACTGGCCATCCCAAAGTCCCGACATCAATCCAATTGAGCATCTCTGGGATGAGTTGGAGCGCCGGTTGAGGGCCAGACCACAACGCCCCAAAACCACCACTCAACTCTTCGCCATGTTACAGGAGGAATGGCGGGCAATACCTGCCGCCGTGTACCAACACCTAGTGGATAGCCTTCCTAGAAGGGTTAAAGCTGTGATTCGGGCGCGTGGCGGCCCTACGCCCTACTGACTTGATACTAGCACCTCATGTATCCGAAATGAGAGGTGTCCGGTCATTAATGGCCAGATAGTGTATAAACTTTGGCCTCAACTTTTGTTAGTATACTAAGACAGGAACGTGGTTCAAACGGTTCCTCCAGACACTCGTCTCGCGTCCTGACGGTTACTATGGTCACTTAGTCACTTCGAGTTACTAAGTCACTTCAAAAAGGGGTGAATAGTTTTGTCTTAATCTTGCCGTAGGTTAGCGTGTAAACCAATCAACACCTTCTTTTCTCCATTTCATCCCCATTAGAGATGTGTTTTCGCTTGTTACCATAGTAGCAGACAGCCCCAGACTTTTAGTATTATTATACTAAAAGTCTGATACAAAGTTTGATAAAAAGTTATTATACTAGATTATACTTCGTTCACCTGGAGTTGCCACTTGGCTCCGCCTTCATCACGTGCTATCCGACGATACTATTTCGCTATTTTTGGGAGAAGGATGTGAACAATCCTGAGCCAGGTTGCTATTTGGCGATCGTATGACAATAAATATTTGACAATTAATATTAAGTATTTCATAAATTTGATAATATTCCCCTCTTTAGAGTAAATAGTATTATTTTATTTTATAACCGTCGTTGAACAGCCGACCCAATTTTACGGTTTACAACTACTGATGTTCAACTCCGTAGCCTTGCAATTTTGAACAAATTCCAGAAGACAAGGGAACTACTGGATCGAGAAATTTGCATTCGTGGAAGACTTTCTGATGGAGCTAACCCACATTTGCATTACATGGAGAGGAAGATCACGAGAACCTTCCACGGTTAGCTTGACAGCAATGGAACTCTAACCCATGATTCGGCTACCACTGAGGATATTTCACGTCAGCACTGTGATCGGTTCAAGCCGGATGCGGAATTCGTATCGACTGGGATTGGAACCTGGTTCACCTCATTGGAAGGCGAACGCTCTATCCCCTGAGCCATTGCGGCTCTTGCTGTCTTGCTGCTGTTGAAAGGTATAATGGCAGATGATAAGGCGAAGTAAGTGACTGAAAAACTGTTTGCGTTTGGCGCCCATTGGATTGTCTCATTACTTATGAAAGTTAACTCCATAAAGTTCCAAAATGAAAAAATGATTAGTTGTCCACTACTATCGTACATGATATAGTTGTCCATTGATTTTGTTCTCAATGGATCGAAGGATTTTGAAAATAGTTTCATTATAATTGTTTGATTTTGAAATTGCATGAATAATTTCAAATCGAATGTCATTATTTTTAGTTTATAAAATTTTATATGGAATGTTTGTTTTCTTTCATTGCAGAGTTTTCATTATCAAAAGTACCTAGTTTCTCTGGTGCAGAGTATCAAGAGATCCATTCGACGGGGTCATTGGTCAAGTTCTGCCAGATACATGTGGGTGGACAGGAACGGGAGGCCTGTCTCCCCGCCCTCCAATCAGCACTCCAGAAGTCCCGGATATAAGGATAAGCCAACGTATAAAAAGGTAAGTGTGCATTTAAATAGAGCCAAAGCAACGTGCAAAAATAATGAATAAGGCCATATAAACATACATGTCATCGCTTCGGTATTATGAGAAAGCACCTTCTTCTATGTTAAACGTAACACGATAACCGTAACGTAACGACGTACGATAACGTAAACGTAACACGATATCGTGTTCGTTACGAAATCACCTTCACGTAATCGTATTGAGGTGATAAACACCAATGTAGAGCCGCGATGGCTCAAGGGATAGAGCGTTCGCCTTCCAATAAGGTAACGGGGGTGCCATCCCCTCCGCAGAGGATCAAAATTGTGATGGCATGTCTTCGGATCATCCTCCGGGATGTTTCCCAGACCGTCGCCAATAGCCCATTGTGAAGCTCTGGTGCGACGTAAATTAACAACAGCAATAAGGTGAACCGGGCTTCGATCTCGGCGATAGCTGGTCGATACGAATTCCTTATCCGGCTTGCACCGACCACAGTGCTGACGTGAAATATCTTCAGTGGTAGACGGATCATGGGTTAGAATCCCTTTACCGTCAAGCTAACCGTGGGAGGTTCCCGTAGTCTTCCGCTCCATGTAACGCAAATGCGGGTTAGTTCCATCAAAAAGTCCTCCACGAAGGCAAATTTCTCGTAATACTTGATCCAGGAGTTCCCTTGTGTTCTGAATTGTGTTCAAAATTAAAAGGCTTCGGAGTTGAACATAAGTAGTCGTAAACCCAAAAATTGGGTTGGCTGTTCAACGACGGTTATAAAATATTAAATAAAAATAGCAAAGATGTAGATAAATTTACAAACAAGCTACAAAAAATGGAGCCCGCAGTGGACTGAGCGTTAAGACACGGTTCCCAGCAGATCACCGAAGTCAAGCATCACTGACTGCGGTCAGTGTGCGGGTGGGTGACCACTTGGATCAGTCAGGACCGAGGGTGCGCGATATTGGTCCTCGTTAAATTGTGCTACCGTAAAGTGCTCGACTTCGCGTGTAGGTCGTCGGGCTACCGAAGCGGGGGTGCCATCCCCTCTGCAGAGGATCAAAATTGTGATGGCATGTCTTCGGATCATTCTCAGGGATGTTATCCAGACCGTCGCCAATAGCCCATTGTGCAGCTCTAGTGTGACGTAAATGAACTAAAACAGCAACTACAAAAGATGGTTCAAAAGAAAAAGGAGCAAGAAAGTCAATAATATTGAAAATATAAAGAAAAAGGCACGTGAGGGTATTTTAAGATCTCAAGATATTATAAGTCAAATAAAAAAAAGATTTCGGAGCAGTTGTTAAAAAAAGGATACCAGTATTATCTCGTATTTTTTCACATTTACTTACGTCTTGAAGCTTATTTTGATAAATCATTATAGTGTGCTTGATGTTAGTTCAGAATATATGTACCTGATCATGCAGGAATGGTACAAGGAAGGACTACTCATGAAAAGATTTAGACCAATAGAGCTTACTAACGCACTAGAGAGATTTAACATGTTCAATATTATATTTTCCTATTCTCACACGTTCATGTACGCTTGACCTGCGTACTGCAGTTACTAGAAAAAAACTCCGATTTTTATAGAACTTGCGAATATGTGAGGTCAATGCTACGTTAATGTGATATGCTATTCTTTTCGTAATAAAAATTAAAAAGCATATTTTTATTATATATATCTTGCAGTCTTTGCTATTTGCTATCGGAAAGATTCGTTTGATACTTAGTAAATAGACTGTAACCCAATTTGTTTTCATCATATATTATAAATATTAGTGTAATGATCAAAAGATTTTTTAAAAGGGTAAATTGAAATATTTAATTTTTGTTGGAGGAAGCAGACGTTATAATGATTCAAGTAATGGATAAAAACGTTTTTTGTACGCTTATAACTATTTATGTTACACAAAAGACAGATTAAATTCGTTTCTGAGACCAATTAGACTGTGTGGGTTAAGTCGAGTAAAAAGAAACCTGGACATAACACTTATTTATTCTGATATATGACAAATGATTTTATGATGTATTAAAATCTTTCTAAAAAGTTATGTCAAAAAGTGGAAATAGTATAAGTTTAAAATTAATTTTTAAGTTAGAAAAGAAAGATATTGAAATTAAATGAATCAGCACAGAGGAAGGTGGGACCAATTAAAATTTGTTTTATTGATGACGAAATTGAGAGACGAAACAAAAGGAAATCGTTAGAAAAACCTAAAAGTCTTATTAGGCAATCAAACTGGTTTTGATTCCGTTTCGCTTTTCTCGCTAGTGATCCCATATATTACGTAGCGTTTATATTCTACCTCATTTTAAGCATTAGTTTTCGATTCCTTGTTTGGATATATTTTTTACCTCATTATTGTATAGGATTTTAAAAATGAAGTTATGGGCCGCACTTACAGAACACTCTGAATATTGATTTAGTTACGACCTGACAGAAGATATTTTTCTATAAACGTAATTAAATTGGATCAAAATTTCTTAGCCTGTAAGACCATACTTACATTCAAAAATTTATGTTACAAGATATATGTCCATGTCTGGATCGCTAATAGCTTGAGAACGGGGTTACCAATTAGGGTCTTTTTTTAGCAGTTTTCAAATTTTTCTAGGAGTGGTTTGCAACCAATCATATCTTATCAATATTAAGAAAATAAGTGTTTTTAACAGCAACACTCTTTCGTCTATGCTTACAAAAATAAAAGAAAACTAGCTGACAACCTTAAGTCAATTTTAATTACAATGAAAGCTCCAAATACATGTAAAGACTGATTTTAACTTATAAGCGTAAATACTCATTTACTTGATTATGCTGTCTTTTAGTTCTTAAACAGTGCCATTAAATCAAATTATTTTTCTAAAGTGTAGTTTTTGCTTTGTATTATTTAATGTTTTAGATCCGTGTATTCCTTTATACCAGTTAAAATTCGTTTCGGCGTAAAGACCCTGACTATTTAAAATCATTGGCTTGCATAATTAATAATAGAAAATACGTGCACAGTTTGATTTTGACAAAGTTGCTAATTTAATTTATTATCTATTCAAAGTGTAATTTAGATAATTAGCATCTATCTTATCTATATTATAAAAAATGCTAATACGTACGTATGTATGTATGTATCAATAAAACCGATGATATTTCTTTTCTCGCTCTGGCAACAGTTTTCATTTTTAATTGATAGGATTCGGCGCGCAAGAGCACGTAGTGAGCATCATATGGCTAATCTATATTATATAAAACGCTAATACGTTTTAATTGATAGGCTTCGGACCGCAAGAGAACGTAGTGAGCATCATATGTCTAATCTGGTGAATTCTCACCGAATTATCAAAAAAATTCTCATAAAATTATCTTTATCGAAGCCGATGCTTTACATCCGGCGTTCAGTACTATTTCATATTGTTTTACAACACATGGTTTTAACCCTCTGGTGGGAAAGACTTTAAAACAAAACTTACAACAGTTACTTTACTGAAATTTACTGAAATTTAGAATAGTGTGATTAAGAAAAATATGCGAACTGTTTGTAATTTCAAATTAATATTGAAATGCACAGGTTTAGAATTTTCTACAGTGAAAAGTTTTCGGAACTTCAGTGTTCAAAAAAGTATACAAAAGCTAGACGTTAAGAATGTATCCAATGAGCGAGCAAATCGAGTATCGGATTGCGAAGCAATCCGAAATGAACTGCGAAAGCAGTTCCAGGGGTTGGCGAGCGCCAGCGAGCAGGGGGCGAAGCCTCCTAGTACTTTTTAAATTTTATTGTTTGTTGCACTCAAACAATCATTTGAATAACAAATTTATCGTAATAACATACGAACATGTAAGAATCATAAATTAAATCCATTCTCAATTGGGTATAATATAAAAAAAACACAACTACTTCCACTTAGTAGGAATAACATTTACCATGACGCAATGCTAAATTCTATGCCACTATCCACATAAATGCCACTATCCACATAAATCAATTATTAATCAAAAATCGAATATCAATTACTTTTCTTTATAATGCAATAAAATCTGGCGAGCAGCTATTTAAACGATCAAACACTTCGTTTGTTTATTTGTGGCTTGAAGTTAGGCTCGCAGAAAATGCCGTTCATGGGTTAAATTTAGTAGGAATAACACAACCTGTGACGTAGGCTATAGTATACCCAATTGAACAATACGAGTTTATTATGCTTACATATTGTTTTGATGTTTGTGTTAAAAGTACTAAATTTTATTTATTCTCTATTTAAGTATATGTAAGCTGTAAGCTAGATTCTGATTTATTTGTTATTTAAGTATATTTAAGCTGTAAGTTAGAGTTTGTATCGTCAGTTGCTATGGTGATATTACAGAACAAATTTTTGTGTTAAAATAGAGTTATGTTTCTTGTTTTTTTTGTAAAAATTGAGTCAGAATAATTTTATTTTAATTAAGTAGTAGTTTTTAGTGGAGAACGACAGAATATTGCACTTTCTGGTAGAGTCTCTTAACATTTGCGGTGACCCGGAAGCAATTTTAAGAAGAATTAATAATACAATGAATGGAATTCAGAAACAACGGAAGATAGTTCGAAGCTTTTTGACTCGATTAAGTAACCAGATTTTAATTAAAATAAAATCAGAAGAAACCGATAATTTAGTAGACGTTAAAGCTAAATTTAAAGCATTGAAAATAAAGAAAAAAGAACTTCAAAAGTTCGACAGTGAATTATCCGAAGTTATGCTGCAGTCTGATAATATTACGGAAGAAAAAATAGAAAATGAAAGTAAGTCAATTGATGATTATTCTAATAATTATTATAAAGTTGAATCTAGTACTAGAATAAATTAAATTTAATACTTTTAACAGGTTGGCTTTACGATTTTAAATCTTGAAATACTTGAATTTCAAAAATTCTGCTTATTTTAAAAAGTAGATCAACTGGTCTCCAGTCAGGAGAATAGTATTATAAATATAAATGCTAAAATTTAATTTCTGTAAGTGAATAAGCTATATTAAAATTTATGCATTTTGAATTAAA